TCATCTCCAATCTCCTACTTCATTCTCGATCTACTTCCTCATCCTTGTAAGTGAATATACTCTTATGCAATTTAATAATTGAATATATTGTTGCATGCTTTAATAATTGAATATATCGTTGCATGATTTAATACTTGGGTATTTTGTTGCATGATTTAATACTTTGGTATATTGTTGCACGATTTAAGATTTGAGTATATTGTTTTATAACTTAAAATTGCAATGGCATGCAATTTTACATAAATCAATACTAAATATATGGATATATAAGTATATATTTATATGGATATATAAGTATATATCCATATGGATATATAAGATATATCCATAGTATATGTATATCTTATATGGATATATAAGTATATATATACTTGTGTATGTAAAAATTGTGCACAATTGAATGCATCTACTTTACAGAGTATTATTGCAAATATGTAAACGCTAATACTAAAAAAATTGCCTTTCTCTCAATGATGTCACATAACTCATCCTATTAATGGCCAACTGCGGATCAATTAATTAAATCCGTTAATATACATATACCAAACAAAAATGGTATTATGAAACTCGTCTGGGTAATTAAAGTCAGTTACGTCGGCAATACGGAAAAATCCGTCGCGGCAGCGGCTAAAATAGCCGGAATACGAAATTAATCTAGTCATAGTTGGAAAAATAACCGGGGTTACGTGGGCGTCCATAAAAAAAAGGGAAGCCGGTTCCCGGAGCAACGTACAATTGCACGAAGCATTTTTCATAGAGAGCGTTTCCTTTCCCGACAATGTGTGGATGCATATATTCGCGGAACGACGAAGCATAACGGCATAACGCGAATGCAGGCACGTGATGTAAAAAGTTGCGACACGCTTAGCCGGCACGGGCGAGGAACTACAATATGGTCGCTGATAGAACTTCTCTCTCCTCTCCACTCTCTCTTTCTCTATCTATTTCTTCCTTTCCCTCTTTCTTTACTTCTTCCTTTTCCTCTTTCTCTATCCCCCCCTCTCTCTACCCTTCCATCTCTTACGTTCTCTTGATCTTTCTATTTATTTAATTTTATTGTTATCTTCCGATCTTTCTGTTTATTTATGTCTTGCACTCTCTCTTGATCTTTCTGCTTATTTATGTTCTTCACTCTCTTCTGATTTTTTTGTTTATTTATTTCTCTCTCTCTCTCTCTCTCTCTCTCTTGATTTTTCTTTTCCTCGCTTTCTCTCTCTTTCGATTTTTTCTTCTCTCTTTCTCTCTCTCTCTCTCTCTTTATTTTTCTTTTCCTCGCTTTCTCTCTCTTTCGATTTTTCTTTCTCTCTCTCTCTCTCTCTCCCTCTCTCGATTTTCTCCCCCTCTTCCTACAAAAGAAAATTCAACAGAATAATTGCCTTATTTTTAATAATCAATGTGCGAGTTTGTGTTAAAAATTGAAATTTTCTGGATTAATTGCAACCAATAAAAATCGAGCATAGATTTTCATTTAAAAATTTTAATGTTTTCGCGAGAGGATTTAACAGGATTTTGAAAAATTCTTCTGAAGTTTTTCCACTGTTCTCTATTTGACACGCTCATTTCTATTATAAATGCATCGATTCTGTAGTCCAGTTACGGTCCACTAATCCACTTTTCTGCAACGATGCTTCCCCAAACGCACATTATGATAATAATTATTGAGAATCGAAATTCAGTGTTCCACTACATGAAATTTTACTGCAATCACGAGCTGGTGACGTCCTGGTGTGCGGAATTTATGCATTCATGACAAAAACGGGTAGGTGAATGTTGAAAACGGCAACAAAATTAATCCTTTCATCGTAGACGAAGATTAAATTATTATTTCTCTATGTAATCATTTCATTATTTAATTTCACTTAAATCGTGACATTATAAACAACCAATTTAATTAATATAATAGTTTACGATCATAACCGAAGAACTGTAATAAATAAAGAAAGATTAAAAATAATAAAGAAAGAAACAACGTTTTGTTTGTTCTTTCTAAAAATAGGGATTTTCAATAGAAATTAAAATTGTAATAGATTTTTAATAGAAATTTAAATAGACTTCGTCTAAAATGGATATGAAAAGCAAACGGAAATACAAACATTTTTAAAAAATAAAACTTAAAAAATGTTTTAAAATTAAAAGTTAAAAATTTTTCAAATTTAGTTCCTTCTTTGCTAAATTTTGCGAAATACTTGGAACACGAGTTCCACGTCGCCCGGTTTTCAAGGATTAAAATACCAACGGACCCCTCCCGGTTGCATTAATGCGCCGTTTCCTCGCGAAGGACGCGAACAATCTTGATTTTCCATAAAAAATCCGCAGCGTATTAACAGCGGCCCCGCACTTACGATTCTATTCAGCAGCACCGCGCGGCACCGCCGCGAATCAATATTCCGTATCGCGTATTCCGCGCGCAATAATTCGCGAGATCGATCGCGGCTCGATAGACCCGACGTTTCCGGTAAAAGGCTGCGTCGAGGACTTCTCTCTCTCGAGTGGGGCTGCGCTCGATGCGATTATTAAACGTTGCGTAATTACGCGCGTCCGAAAGGCCATTTCGACGGACGGGAACGCATCGTTCACCGACTCTGTTCCACCTTTTAATTAGATCTTACAACGGCGCGACGGTTCCTCGGTCTTAATTAATATCGGCTCGCGGGCAACGCGAAGTCGAGCTTCGATCTCCTCTTTCGCCTCGTTACCTGCCTGCACAAATCTTCGTGTTAATTAACGACGTGCAAACGGTCGCCGCGAGCCTCTAAATTGTCGCGCGATATACATATGCAGTGGCTATAACGATCCTCATTGGCGAATTTCTGGAGGACACAATGGAGCCTCGATTATGCGAACGTTAAGGTGACGGAATTCTTTATCGTTGGAGTTGATCAAAATTTTATTCGACCTTATCGAGTAAAAGATTATCCGAATAAGATTTTAGTCGAATAAAAAAACTTTGTTTAAACGAGAAGTATTATAAATGAGAAAATAATGAGAAGTATTCGAAAAATATGAAAAATATGAAAAAATAAATGAGAAGTATTCGAATAAAATTTCGTTTAAAGAAGAAGCTTTATTTGTTACTCGAGTAGGATTTTATTCGTACAGGAATTGATTGGGGAAATAATTCGATTTGAATGAAAATGATAGATTATAGCGTTCTTCCGTACTTTATCTAGGAATTTCTTCCATGTTAATTTTTACAATTAACTCGTTTCTCGCATATAACTGAATAATTTTTCTTCTGGGTGCACAGAGGAAGTCATCGTACATTCCAGGATTCTTGTTTGCAACGAAAACGTAGTTATTAAAAAATTACGTAAAAGAACGTCAACAATTATTTCCGTTATTATTCGAATAATTTTACGATCACTATTCGAATAATTTGTTCGAATAAAAAATGGAGAATTATTCGAATACCAAGTGAAGAATTATTTAAATAAATAAATAGAGAGAGAGAGAGAGAGTAATTTGTTACGAATAATGAACAATTGTTACTCGAATAATTATTTTCGATAAGTATTAGGTCTACCGGAAAGTTCTGTCCGNAATAAAAAAACTTTGTTTAAACGAGAAGTATTATAAATGAGAAAATAATGAGAAGTATTCGAAAAATATGAAAAATATGAAAAAATAAATGAGAAGTATTCGAATAAAATTTCGTTTAAAGAAGAAGCTTTATTTGTTACTCGAGTAGGATTTTATTCGTACAGGAATTGATTGGGGAAATAATTCGATTTGAATGAAAATGATAGATTATAGCGTTCTTCCGTACTTTATCTAGGAATTTCTTCCATGTTAATTTTTACAATTAACTCGTTTCTCGCATATAACTGAATAATTTTTCTTCTGGGTGCACAGAGGAAGTCATCGTACATTCCAGGATTCTTGTTTGCAACGAAAACGTAGTTATTAAAAAATTACGTAAAAGAACGTCAACAATTATTTCCGTTATTATTCGAATAATTTTACGATCACTATTCGAATAATTTGTTCGAATAAAAAATGGAGAATTATTCGAATACCAAGTGAAGAATTATTTAAATAAATAAATAGAGAGAGAGAGAGAGAGTAATTTGTTACGAATAATGAACAATTGTTACTCGAATAATTATTT